AGATACATATATTGAATACATAGATTAGCGAGATAGAGGAATAGATAGATAGATATGATAAATAGGTGCATACATGCATAAATGCAGACATACAGGAGAACGGAGGTTTCTTGCTGGCATTAGAATGCTGAGGCCCAACTAATCAATATGGAAGGAGTGCTGGAGCTTGGAAATGATCATTTTGTGATCATCATAGTAATAATGGGCAAGAATAGTCAATGGATACTAAATCTAGGGAGAAATATTTTGATGAGAGAAAGATACTTCATATATTGATTGTCAGTTAAAAAAAAGAAAAAATCAGTAACTATATTTTCAAAAAATTGGCAACACTTTGAATAAATCGTCAAATTAACATCACCAGTGAGGGAAGATGGACATTGTGTATCTCCAATTGTGATATCCTAAGATAGCGTATGACCTGAACCTAATCACAAGGAAACATTAGACAACCCAAAATGAATAACTTTCTATTAAATGGTAGAAGGACTGTATTTTCCAAAAATGTTATTGTCGTAAAAGATAAGAAAAGACTATGGAAACATTCTAGACGATGTAAGGCTAAAGAAACTTGACAGTTAGACAGGATCCTGTACTACAGGAGAAAAAGACATAAAAGGCATTTTTAGGTTAAATGACAAAATTAGATATGGATGGTATACTAAAGTATAACATAAATGTAAATGTATGAATTTAATAATTGCAGTGGTTATGTAAGAAAGTACTCCTACTCTTGGAAAACATATTGAATTATTTAGTGATAAAGATCTACAGTATATATAACTCACCTTCAAATGTTTCAGAAAACACACCCTCACGTATACATAGTAAGAACAAGCAAGAGAGAACTTGAAATGTCAAGAAATATTAACAGAGGTGAATCTGTACAAAGAATATTTTATTGTCCTTTTTATTTTATTTTAATAACTGTCATTATTTTTTGTAATTATTAACTAATATCCAAATAAATAAGCAAGGGATGAAGCTAATTCAGTGCTTAGAGGAAGCAAATGTTAAGGTTGAATGTTTATATTAGGAACAAAGGTATAAATTAATGATCTAAGTCTCTGCCAATAAAGACCAAAAATAAAAACAGGCAATTAAACATAAGTTAGATAGATGAAAGGAAATAACAAAGATAACAGCAGAAATTTAAAAATTAAAAATAAAAAATCAAGAAATCCAGAAATTGCTTTTGAAAAGATTAGTACACTTGATAAACTTCTAGCTAGACCAAAAAACATAAAGAGGAAAAACACAAGTTACCTATAATATAATACCGGGAATTAAGGCATAAATGAATATCATTATAAATCCTACAGATGTTAAAAGGATAAAAAGAAAATATTATTTTAAAAATCATGCAGGAAAGTACTACAATTCAGATGAAATGAGCAAATGCGTTGAGAAAGTCAACTGATCAACTGCCCAGAAAACCAAAACTAACACAAGATGGTACAGAAATTCTGAATAACTATACCCATGAAAAAAATTGAATTTTTAAATCAAAATATTTCAACAAGTAAACTCTTGGTTCCAGTGGCTTCACAGGTGAATTCTAGCAAACATTTAAGGAAGAAGTAGTACCATCTTTCACAACCTATTCCAGAAAATAGAGGAGGAAAAAGCATGTTTTAACATCTTATGAGTTGATTTTTGATATCAAACCATGGCAAAGACATTACAAGAGAAGAAAATATTCTTCATTAACATAGATGCAAGAATCTGTAACAAAATATTTTTCAGAAATACATAAAAAGAATACTATATTATAGCCAATTAAATTTTATCTCAGGAATACAAGTTTGGTTCAACATTTAAAAATCAATGTAATCTGTACAATTAATATATTAAAGTTAAAAACATATATGATCATCTTAATAAATAGAGAAAAGGAATTTAAAAATATCCAGCACTCATTAATGACAGTAATTCTCAGCAAATTAGAATAGCCATCCTCTAGCAAACTAGAATCCCAATTCTGATAGAGAGCATGTACAAGAGTCTATTGTTAATTCTTGATGGGGAAGCCCTGAATGCTTTTCCCCTAAGATCAGAAAAAAAGACCAGAATGTTGAATCTTCTATTCAATATTGTATGAAGGCTCTAGCCTGTTCAATAATGCAAGGAAAACTAAAAGCATAAAGACTCAAAAGGAAGAATTTATTTCTATAAACAAAAGTTTTATTTAACTAATTGAAATTCACAGATAGTATACAATTTTATAAGAAAAGCCTGAGGAACGAACAAAGAAAACTCCTAGAACAATTTACATAAACCTAACAATATCTCAGACTATAAGATGCATATGGAAAATCAGTTGTATTTCTATATACTGGCAGAAAGCAATAGAAAATAAAATTAAAATTTTATTCACAATTTTACAAAAATGTAAAATACTTGCTGATAAATTTAACAAAAGATACGTGAATCCTCTATATTGAAAACTACAAAATATTGCTGAGAAAAGTTAAAGAAGACCTAAATAAATGAAGAGAGATACTATATTTGTGGGTTGGAAGATTCAATATTGTTAGGATGTCAAACCTTCCCACAGTGATCTATAGTTCAACATGATTCAAATCAAAACTCCATAAGGCTTTTTAAAAATAGAAATAGATAAAACAATTCTAAAATTTATATGGAAATGCATATGACCTAGAATAGCCTAAACAATCTTGAAAAAGAAAGCCGAAGAATTCAAACTACTTGACTTCAAGACTTAAAGCTACAGTAATAAAGACAGTTAGATATTGGCATAAAGATAGACACATCAATCCCTGCAGCAGACCAGAGAATACATAAATAGATACACATGTTTATGGTGAATTACTTTTTGACAAAAACAGCAAAGTCACTCAAAGGAAAAAAGAACATATTTTCAACAAATTGTGCTGAAACAACAGGATATCTGTGCAAAAAAAAAAAAAAAAAAAAAAAAAAGGTGTGAGCCCAATCTCTGACCTCACACCACACACATCACATTTAATTAGGGATAAATCTTAGTTCTAAATATAGAAGCTAGAATAATAAGGCTTATTGAGGAAAACAGGGAAATATGTTTACAGGATAACCAAAAATGTCTAAGGCAAAACTCTGAAAACTCTGAAATAAAATAAAAAATAAATGATAAATTAGACTTCATAAAAATTGAAACAAACCAGGCGTGGTGGCTCATGCCTGTAATTCCAGCACTTTGGGAAGCTGAGGCGGGAGGATTGTTTGAGCACAGGAATTTGAGACCAGCCTGGACAACATAGTGAGACCCCACCTCTGTAAATATAAAAATAAATGAAAAATTGGCCAGGCATGGTGGCACGTGCCTGTGGTCCCAGCTACTTGGGAGGCTGAGGTGGGAGCATGGCTCAAGCCTGGGAGGTTGAGGCTGTGGTGAGCCATGATAGTGCCATGGCATTTCACCCTGGGTGACTGAGTGAGACAGTCCCCCTCCCCCCACTCCTCTGCAAAATATCAAAACAAACAAAAACTCTGATCAACAAAATATATCATCATTATTATAGAAAATAAATAGACTTAAGAAAATATTTTCAAAGCATATTTCTGACAGAAGGCTGCTATTCAGAATGTGTAAAGAACTCTTTCAACTCAACAATAAAATGACAATTTAATAAAAGTAAGCAAAAGTCTTGAACAATGAAATATCAGTTCACAATAATGGTTGGGGAGTATGTAGAGCAAATGAAATGCCTGTCCATTACTGGAGAAAACGTAAAATAGCACAACCACTTTGGTAATTTCTTATACCATTAAGAGAAACACTCCTTAATCCAAGAGAAATGCAAACAAATAGCTACAAAAAGTACTGTATGAAAATGTTTATAGCAACTTTTTTCACAATTGCCAAGAACTGGAAACAGCCCAAATGCTCATGAATGGGAAAATGAATAAACAAATTGTGCTATATTCCTACAATGGGATACTACTTAGCAGTAGAAACTAAGCATCTAGTGACACATGGAATAACATGGGTGAATCTCAGAGACACTGCTGAAACCCCTCCCGCAAAAGGAACACAAAAGGCTATACACCATATGATTCTATTTATATGAGGTTTTAGAATGGGAAAATGTAATCTGAGGTGAGAAGGCCAAAATGATGTTTTTTTGGGGTGTGAGGTGGTAGGAGGAGAAGAGGAGTTTGAGCAAAGGAGGACATTTTCTGTAGATATGAGTGTTCTGTTTCTTGATATGGATAGGGTTACATGATGGGTCTGCTCTATCACCTAGGCTGGAGTGCAGTGGCACGATCTCAGCTCACTGCAACCTCTACCTTCTGGGATCAGACGATTCTAGTGCCTCAGCCTCCCGAGTAGCTGGGGTTGCAGGTGCCTGCCACCACACCTGGTCAATTTTTGTATATTTAGTAGAGACAGGGTTTCGCCATGTTGGCCAGGCTAGTCTCGAACTCCTGACCTCAGTGATCCACCTGCCTCAGCCTCCCAAATTGTTGGAATTACAGGCATGAGCCACCGCACCAGGCTGTATTCACTTTTTTTAAAGCATACAGTTATTATTTATTCATTTAGGTGTTTATAAAATGTATGTGAAAGTAGAACTGTAAGCTATAATTATTGATTGATGGGAGGTAGGGTATGGTGATGGCATAGGTAAATCAAGAATGGCTGAATGTCGACAATTGTTGGAGCCAGGTGATACATAGGAGTTCATTTTACTCTTCTGTTTACTTGCAGACATTTGAATTTTTCCATAATAAAATGCATTCCTTAGAAAAAGCAAGCCACAGGACATATACAATGTGGTATCATTTATATCAAGTTTGAAAACACGTACAGATACATATTATTATTTATAGGCATACACTTGCAAATGTTAGCAAAAATAATCATGGAAATCATAAACACTGGATTGGAGATTGGTGGTTACTACTGGATGGTGCAAAAGGAAAGATTCACAGGCCTTTAAAATCTTTTAAATAAAATATGGTATTAAATCATTAAATTATCCTCTGTACATTCTTAGGCTGGTATATTTCATTAGAAGCGTGGGAACCCTCAAGGACCCTGGGTACTCACTTGACGTTGAGAGATGAGCCATGTGTTTGTTACCTTCAGGTGAGCACTTGACGATGTGGTAAGCAGAAAAAGTACTGTATGAACTGGAAAGCGTAACCAAATACAGACTTCTAGGGGGAAAAAGAGGGGCTTCCAGATCTCTAAAGGTCTGAGCACCGTTTTGGCAAAACTACATTACTAGTGGGTGGACCCCTTGAAAGAGGGACTGAGCCTGGTATGTGTATGTGTCTCTGGTACTTAAAACAATACCTAAAACATTTGGGATGCTCAACAGCCATTTACAGAGTCCATGAATAGACCTCCATGCCCCTGCTTATAAACAGCTAGCTGGGGGGACATTTAGGAAATGCTAGGATCGTTTTAATAAGTAGTAACAAGAGCTGATGTGAATTATGTTTCGGGCATTTTATAAGGACTTTTGTCAGAATTAACTCATTTTATCCTGACAGCAACTCTATGAAGTAGGTTCTATTATTATCAACCCCCTTTTACAGCTGATAAAACTGAGGGACAAAGAAGTTAAATTATTTATTCAACATCACACAATGAGTGCTAGAAGGCAAGGGATTTGTCCCCATAGCCCTTATATTTGACTACAAAAATCCATGGCTTGCTATGATCAAGTAAGTTTGGATACAAGCCCAGGCAGTGGGGAGCAGCCCTGGCTCCCCAGGTGATATTGAGACACCTGGGAACAGAAAAAAGCCCAGCAGAATTCACTTAAAGGGAAGATATTTCGAGTTGAAGGGAGACGCAGTAAGAAGAGACAACCAAGGGACAGAGATGGTCTTGGTTCCTGGGAGCCCTCAGCCCTCTCAGGGATGGATTGCCCTTTGGATGAGATCCAGGTCTTCTGTGAGTCCTGTGTTCCCTTCTGCATTGAGGTGTCTCTTCAAATCTCTCAGTTATCCTGGAGGGCCGGACACTCCCAATCCTTCTGGGCTGAGGTTGACAAAGTCTGCAGATAAATGTTCTGGATAAATAGAGCCTGCCCTGCTCTAGTTGCCAAGCAGAATGAATACAATGTGTTTTAATAATGAATGAGTGATTAATAGCAACTGCTTTGGAGAATTATGATGTGACGAGCCTTACCGTGCCATGGAGCTGGGTATAAATGATGCTGGAATGCATAATCAGGACGTTAGCATCTGTTACAAACTGCATTATAAACAGGCTCCATGATGCTGCTTATCCACACCTCCCTGACATGTTATTATAACACTTCTCTTGAGAATGGATTGGGGGGGAAATATGTCTATTAATCACCAATTGATGGAAAAAAAAAAAGAAGGAGAGGAAGAATGTTAAATTAAGGTAATGTTACACATGCCTTCTCCCTCTCCTGATACTGTTTTTAATCCTGCCCTTTGTTGGTCTGCAGGGACAATGTGTTTGCGGTTCCTGGGGTGAGAGAATGTGGCCTGGTCAGAGGAGATCACCTTGCAAAGCAGGTAGAAAGTGTCTGGGAACTTGGATCCATCAGCAAATATCATGGGAATTCCCTTTGCTTTACCAATAAAATCCTGACCCCTCACTAGGCATGTCCCTGTGATTTGGTCCCTGTATGACCTGCCAGTCACACATACCATGTATTCTATCTTCCAGTGTTCATTCCAAGTCACAATGAACTATTTGCAGCCCTCAGAATGCTATGAGATTTCCTTCCTTCCTTCCTTCCTTCCTTCCTTCCTTCCTTCCTTCCTTCCCTCCTCCCTCCCTTCCAACCTTCCCGCCCCCTTCTTCAGCCAGCACGCCCTTCCCTTCCCTTCCCCTTCTGCCTGCTTCCTTCCTTCCTCCCTTCCTTCCTTCCCTTCCTGGTTTGCCCTTCTTTCTTTCTTTTCTTCTTTCCTCTCTCTCTTTCTTTCCCTCTCTCGGAAGCCTGGAAGGGTGTCTAGCCTACTGGTTCTCATCCCAGGTGGGTGTACCTCCTCCACCAAGCACCTGCTTCCTCCTGCCTTCACCCCACCACTCTTCCTGCCTCCTATCTCGCCTCCGCCTCGCAGCCTCCTATCATCCTCCCTCTATCGCTTTAGAAAATTTGTCTTACCCAACTGTGCAGCTACATCACCTCTGGGCCAAGTACTTAGGTTATGAGGATTTTGACATTGAGTTTTGCTTGATTCTTTGTTTGATTCCATCTTTGATTGAGAGTACCTTATTTCTTTGATTGATGATGATATTTGATCGACATTTGCTTTGTGACGACATTTGTTTTCTTAGGAGAAGCATTTGCCGTGAGTAACGTATCAGGGCCCTTCTGTTGCATTCCTCATTCCATTCGCTCAGTAGTGATAAACCCCATCCACATTGAGCAAAGCTTGGTATTTCTGATTAGATGTGCCTTTCCATATTTGCTGTTTGTTCAATTTGGGATTTGAAATTTTGATGTCGAACTGTGAGTGTATTGTGATGTGATCAGTTCCTTTCCTTCCTTCCTTCCTTCCTTCCTTCCTTCCTTCCTTCCTTCCTTCCTCCCTCCCTCCCTCCCTTCCTTCCTTCCTCTTTTTTCCCCTTCCTTCCTTCCTTCCTTCCTTCCTTCCTTCCTTCCTTCCTTCCTTCCTTCCTTCCTTCCTTCCTCCCTCCCTCCCTCCCTCCCTCCCTCCCTCCCTCCCTCTCTCTCTCTCTCTCTCTCTTTCTTTCTTTCTTTCTTTCTTTCTTTCTTTCTTTCTTTCTTTCTTTCTTTCTTTTCTTTCTTTCTCTCTCTCTCTCTCTCTCTTTTTCTTCCTTTCTTTCTTTTCTTTTTCTTTCTTTCTCTCTCTTTCTTTCTTTCCTCTTTCTCTCTTTTTTCTCTTTCTTAATGTAGCTGCTGCTCTTTCTAGAGCATCACCCTCTTTCCTGTAGCAGGTTAATCTATTGCTCATCCTCCAAAGTTCTCTAAATCCCAGTTGAATGTCACCTCCTCCACCAAACTTGCCTGCTCTTCCTCACCTTGTTCTTGCCATCAGAGCATGTATCACACAGTATCACAGGGCATCACACGGTATGGAATCACTTATTAGTCATCTCCTCTGTCAACTGAGAGAGTTTGTCTTACCCAACTGTGCATTCCCAGAAATCACCTCTGGATGAGTGTAGAGGTTTCATAAAAGAAACAATGAGTGTTCAGCTGATGGAAACCAAACTTCCAGTACCATTTAGTGTGGTTCATATACAATCTCACCCTGATGATGCTAATTCATTCTATCTACACACAGTTACTGAGAGCCACCTATGTTTTCTTTGAGGTGTTGCAGATAGAGCAGTGATCAAAACAGTCTGAGCCTTTGCTTTTGTGGAGCTGACATTTTGTTAGGGGATTTTTCTGGGAAGAAGCATTACCAGCCTGTGAGTAACTTGTCTCCCAGGGCCCTTCCCTGAGCACATTCCCCCTCATTTTTCACATTCAACTCAAGCGCCGTAATCTTTAGAAAACCTTCCATCCCTGTTCTGGGCAAAGCTATAGTATTTCCCTGATTCTAAGATGTGCACTTTCCCATATTTTACTGTTGTTGTTTTTTAATTGGGAATTTAAAATTTTGATGTCTGAACTGTGGTGTGTTCACTTGATGTGGTCAAGTTTCCTTTTTCTGCAAGCTGTTGTTAAGTCAGTAGGTGTCTTATCATCAAGATGTCTCTCGGTTAGGGAAATAAGTGAGTACCTAGGGGCTGTGCTTCCATGCACTTTGTCTGCACAGGGACGGGCTGTTCACCTCATTGTGTCTGGTCACATATCTTTCTCCCTCACTGGACTGTGAATTCCTCAAGGGCAACCACGTCTAATTCAACCATGATTTTTCTTCAGCTCCAAACCCGCCCCTGACACCCAGTAAACATTCACTTCTCTTGGGAACAAAAGCAATGCATGACAAAATGGAGTAAAGCTCTCCTGCTCTCCACATGATCAGATCTGGTAACTTCTATTTCCTATGTATCCTTTGAAATTTACCTCCAGAACCACTCCAATAGTGGGCAGCTGAGCACAGGTCCACCACATATTGGTGGAGTGGTCTGCCATGTTAATTCTGGGGCCTCAGAATCCTGACCTGTAAAATGGAACTGAAAATGCCCAGCTCATGCAGTTTGGAGGAGGGTAAAGTGAGATACACAGTATTAATTTCTTCGGGTTGCCATAACAAAGCATAGTTGGGCCTCTGTATACATGGGTTCCACATCATGGATTCCATATCTGTGGATTCAACCAACTATGATAAAAAATATTTTTAAAAAACCACAATAAAAACTAATGATACAACAATTAGAAGTACAAATTGAAAAATAACTCCAATCTTTGCCTTGTCTTCACATGACCATTTTTTCTCTCTCACAAGAACATCAGCCCTGTTGAAATGGAGCCCATCCTACTCCAGTGTGACCTCACTTTAGCTTAACTGCAATGACCCATCTACAATGACCTTATTTCCAAATAGGATCATTCTGATGTTTATGATTTCAACCTATCCATTTTGGGAGACTCAGTTCAACCCACAACATGCAGAGAATATTCTAGTAAATAATCCGTCTTCTTCTCTTCCACCCCCCTCCACTCCTATTTATGCCAACTCAAACTACTCTTCCTGCATCCTACTTCTTGTCTGTGCCTCTCTGATGTGCATTGCTAGGTGTCTTTTTAAGAAAGTATGCCCTCCTGTTCTAACCAGTTGGAAGGTTTGTGAAGGTAAAGAGGAAAAAGCATCCTTATGGCATCTAAAAGACTGTTTGGCATATCCTGAGGTCTCAGTATGTGCTAATGGATTGGGTAATAACAAAGGAGCAGAAAATATTGATCACACTTTCTTCCACGCTGTCTTTCTCTCTAAAGTCCTTCCTCTGGGTGCTTAGAGAGTATTATCATTCTTATTTCAACTAGCCTCATCTTGTATGAGCTTCTAAGAAAAACATGAGTTTAAAGAGTTTGCATAAGGCCTGTAGTCATTTCTTTCCACCTTAAGGACCACTATCCCGTTGGAGGCCACCATGATCTCTCACTTGGGCAGCTGCCAGCTGCCATAGTCCTACCCTCCTTTTTTTTTTTTTTTTTTTTTTTGAGATGGAGTCTCACTCTGTCACCCAGGCTGGAGTGCAATGGCGCTATCTCGGCTCACTGCAGGCTCCACTTCCCAGGTTCACGCCGTTCTCCTGCCTCAGCCTCCCAAGTAGCTGGGACTACAGGCGCTTGCCACCATGCCTGGCTAACTTTTTTGTATTTTTTTAGTAGAGATGGGGTTTCACCGTGTTAGCCAGGATGGTCTTGATCTCCTGACCTCGTGGTCCGCCTACCTCGGCTTCCCAAAGTGCTGGCATTACAGCCACCACGCCTGGCCAGTCCTACCTCCTTTTAAATCCATTCTCTGCACTATGATCAGTGGGATTTTTCCATAACACTAAAATCATGGCATCATCTCTGTGGCTTTGCCATTGCCCTCTGATTAAAATCCAGGAACCTGTGATGTCATATAATCATCTGCATGATATGGCCCCTCCCACTTTATGGCTTACCCCTCCTGACCTCTTAACTCAAGACTTAACAGCCATATGAGCTTCTTGTGGTTACGTTGATGAATCCTGAACTCTCACCTGTAACCTTTAACTCATGCTATACCTGATGTCCTTTGTCTTCCAGTCTCCTCTGCCTTTCCTGAGCTAACTCCTCCATAGCCTTCAAGTCACAGCTTAGATATCACCTCCTCTGGGAGTCCTTAAAGATCTACTAAGATTGATTCAAATACCCTTCTGTGTGTTTGTTAGGGCTGGAGGGTATATGGTGCCTGGTACTACGCCTGAGGCACAATCAGTACTGGATAAATATTTGTCAAAGGTTGAATGGATGTTGTTGAAAGAGATTGAGCCATGAAGTCAGAAAGCTAGGGTGAGAATTCTGTATTTTCAATTTATTAGATTTCGATCTTGGGAAAGTCATCTACTTTTTCTGAGCTTTAGTTTGCTCATCTATAAAATGAGTGTAGTAATACAAATTGATTTTGGGGTTGATTGAAACATTATAGGCCAGGAAGCTAGTACAGTGCCACATAGTAGGTGTTTATAAAATATCAGTTTCCTTTCTCTCCTCCCACCCTTTGTTTTCTGTCTTATGAACCCTCGCCATCTCTAACTGCCTCCCCCTACGTTATCTGTGCTTCTTTTAAAACTATATATATATATATATAATTTGCCCCCTTCTCCCCAACTCTTCCCTTGGCTGGTTCCCACCAATCTCATTTTTTTCATGATTAAAACAAAGCATCATGGAAAATTAATTAATATTTGGAGATGAAAGATGCAGCATTGGCAGTCCTGGCTCTCCACTGAGTGCAAACCACTTACAATAAAACCCACCAGCTTGGCTATTAAGGAGAGAAAGAATTTATTTATGAACAAGAGGGAATACAACCCTTTCATATTGTAGCCACCAGCCTGCCTTTGATGGCACTGCCAGCTTTATACCTCAGGTGCCTGCAAAAAAGGCCAAGAGTAGCCTTGTTCTGAAGAGACTGACAACATGAGCTCCCATAGTCCGAGCCAGGGTGATCCACTGTGCTCACCTGGGGCTCCAGAGCTCTGTTCACCTGGCCACATCTTATCCCCCATCCTCTGATGGTCTCCCAGGGTTTGATTGCTACTGATGTATAAAAGCCCTGAAATAGAAGCCAGAGACCAATAGGACTAGAAGAACTCAAGAGATCATCCTGTTTAATGTTTCCATTTTATATATGGAGAAACTAAAGACCCAGGG